TTTGAAGACAGTAATAATGCGTCATAATGCTCTATGAAGCGCGCGACTTCTAGCCTGCGTGGCAGGCGTTCGAAAGGGAAGGGGAAGGGAATTAGGGCGCGACACCACGCGACTCCCAAAGCTGCAAAACTGAACTCCTCTGGCTATCCTATCAAAAGAAAACAAACTGGTCAGACCGTTTTGCTTGTTTTCGTCTTTTTCGAATAAATGTAAGGCTCTTCGTGTTGTCTATTTTCTGTTTCTATTCTGCTTTTGACGAAGCAAATAAAGTCAGCAAACCTTCCGAACTTTGTTTTGGCCACGAATATAAATCTGAATTCCTTTCGAATACCGCAGCGCGCGCACACGTGTGTATGTGAACTAGAATTGTATCTGAGTGGCCACTTTGTACTGAAACGTCCTTATCTTTCACCAACCGAATTGAATCACCAGTGTATATCATTGAAGGTTCACAAAGAATTATTTTGGTTCAGATATACTCCGCCTCAGCCAATCAGAGCAGCAGGTTGTTGCTTCTGATGAGCCGGGACCGATGAACGTCCATTTCGTTGCGCGTTGCATCAAGTTGTCGATTTTTCAGGCAAAATCTTCGCCATATCAAGAACTGTTTTGCATAGCAACGCTACCAACGAGCTTAGCGCACCGCAACGAGAAAATCAAAAAGCAGCAGGTTAAATGCATCAGTCAATTCCATCTGCGCCCAGTCTCCCCCCCGGGCTGACCCCCGGGCATAAGTATCTTTTTTTTTGCCTCGGATGGCAAATTCTCGGGGGTGGGGACTCTTGAGCTGTCAAATCCCCCGGGATGGGGACGAAAAAAGAGGGCAAATGCCCCGTCCTCCGTCAACACTGCAACATTTTTCATTGATCGCACAGTCGAGGAATGCCATTTTAAGCATTTTAATGTGCGATTTTTTGGTTCAATTAACGTCTTCCAGGTCTTCCTTTGTAATAGTGTTATTCTAATTAAGACTTCATGCCGTGACGACACCAGTTTATGGTTTTAGTATTGTTATAAAATTATGGACATTAAAATTAATTGTGCGCTTTAAAGTTAACTGCTATGAATAGTTTTATAAATATGAAAGGATGTTCTTCAAATAATATCAAGACAAAACTGATTCAATAACCCAAAAAGCCTTGATTCACGTCGATAGCTTCCAAGTTTCGCTATGTAATTCTGGTTTGGTAAGCAATGAAGAAATGTATGCATAAAATCGAGAACATGCCTTTACAAACCTCTTCAATTTTTTCCCGTCCTTGACAAAAATCTGCTTGTTTTTCCAGTAAAATCCTCTGTGTACTTATATTCTGATAGGAAACCGCGTGCGTGTCAAAAGCTCGGGGTTGGCCCCGGGGTTGGCAAATGCCCGGCCCCCGGGCAGCGCAAAATTTGCAAATGCCCTACCCCCGGGACTGACAAGGCGGGCAAATGCTCCGCAGTAGCCCCCGGGGGGGGGGGGACTGGCCGCAGCTGAAATTGACTGACTAGTCTTTCGAAACATATTGATGAACTTCGTGTCCTTTTACAGAATAATAGCCTTGATTTGTTAGCTATCAACGAGACACGTTTAAATGAAACCATCGCTGATAATGAGATCAGGATCAGTGGCTATAATATCGTTCGTCGCGATCGACCTTTAAACGGCCGAAACGGAGGTGGGGTTTGTTTTTATGTGCGTTCTAACATTAATTATATTGTGCGCGAGGATCTCGTATCTGATCAACTCGAAAATCTTTCGATTGAAATTATCAAGCCAAGAAGTAAGCCCTTTATTGTTGCAACGTGGTATAGACCTCCGAATTCACCTTTTGAATTATTCTCTACGTTCG